GTTCAATAGATGAAAAGAGGAAGCTTCATGCTGTGAGTTGGGACGTCATTTGTTAATCTAAGGAGATAGGTGGTTATAGTATTAAAGATATGAGAAATATGAATGCTGCTCTTATGGCCAAGGGGGGATGGAACATGCTGGTAAAACCTGAGAATTTATGCTCAAAAGTGCTTATTGACAAATATGGGAGGGATGCTGATTTGCTAAAAGGGTGTTAGGTTAAAAATTTTGATTCTACATTTTGGAAATTCTTGGCCAACTGTTGGCCAAAGATTTTAGAAATGGTGGTGTGGGAATGTAGAGATGGGAGTAAGATTAAATTCTGGAAAGATTTGTGGCTAAATGATAACTCTAATATGTTTGATTTGTCACTTAGGAAACCTGATGGCAGATTAATTAATTGTAATGTTCAAGATATGGTAAATGAACGTGGCAAATGGGAATTATTATATCTAAAACATTATCTCACTGAAGATATTATTTTACAATTGTGACCTATTCCGTGTGCTCAATTTGAACTTAGCGCTGATTGCTTCAGATGGAGGGGTTCTTCTTCTAACATTTTCTATGTGGCTGATATGTACAAATGCATGACTAATGTGATGGGTATGGTTGTTGATGATTGCTGGAGGAAAATTTAGAGGTTGGGGGGAACTAGGAGAATTCATGTATTTCTTTGGCTTGCTAATCATGATAGATTATTGACTTCTTGTAGAAGGTCAAGGATCTTGGGGGGCTCTTCTATTTGTTGTAGATGTGGCTTGGTTGATGAATCTCTTTTACGTGCTATTCGTGACTGTGAAATAGCTAAGAATGTTTGGCTTTCTCTAAACTTTCCCTTAGTAGATGATAATTTCTTTTCTTTGTCTCATGGAGATTGGTTCAGGAGGAATTTTGAGGGAAATGGGGAATGGCATATTGTTTTTGCTATAACTTGTTAGTTTCAGTGGAATTAGAGGAATAAGATTCTTTTTGAGGAGGATTTTGTCTTTCCTAAAAATCCTGTTTGTATTATCATGCATTATGTTTGGGAGTTGAATAATTTGAGAAATTGTGGTTCCGTTTTGAACTAAATTACTCTGGAAAAATCTATCTGTTGGGATAAGCCTCTGTTTGGTTGGATGAAGCTGAATTTTGATGGTGCGTCCAAGGGTGGGTCAAACTTGGCTGGCTGCGGTAGATTGCTAGGAGATGATTGTGGCAATTGCATTGGTGGATTTGTGAAGAGGTTGGGCACTTGTTCTACTATTGATGCTGAGCTATGGGGTGTTCTGTGGGGTTTGAGGTTGGTAAAGAGAATAGGGGTGAAGAAGTTAATTATAGAAGGGAACTCTACCTCTGTGATCAGTATGTTGAAGAGTGTTTGGGAGGGGAATGAGGTTTGTAGATCATTGCTTATGCTACTCCGTATGGAAATCTTGGAGGATTGGCAAATTCAATTTCAACATGTGTTGAGAGAAGGCAATCAGTCTGCTGATTGGCTTGCTAATTATAGTTTTTCTTTTGATTTTGAGGCTGCTTATTTTGTTGAGCCTCCTTGTGATTTGACAAATTTACTGTACAGAGACAAATTGGGTACTATGTATCCAAGGAAAGTTGGCTGATTGAATAATACAGGGCTTTTGCCCATTTTCACCCAAAAAAAAAAGTAATAGTCCATCTTTTTAATTAGTGTTAACATTTTTTTGGTAAAGTCAGCTCTTGTACGTACTCATATCTTTGGGGGAAAAAAAAACACACAACAATGGAGATTATTTTGTGATCTAAAATAGTAGATTCTATGTTGGAAATATAACAGTTAGTACATTATCATCGAGTTCAAATATTTAAAAATATGATTTTATAAATGAAGAAAAGTAAGTGTAAAATTTCGAGAAAAATTCCTTCAATAAAGATCACCGCAAAAATTTAATCTTTGTTATCATAAAATCCTGTAAAAATGAATAAAATAGTAAGTAGCCAGTACTCCTTCTATTCTATTATATTGTCCTTGCTATAGTAAAAATTGTATGACATATTATAATTCTTTGTTCAATTTGAAAGCAATATAATAAAATAATTTTTCTATTTTATCCTCATTTAATCTAACAATTTAACTGGTTTATTTAATATAATTAAAACTTCTACCTATTCCAATGCAATTAAATGAGAGGCAAATTTTATACAGTATGTCATCTTTTCACATGTATATTACTTTTTTTTTTAATCTATATGTAAGAACTTTTAAAGATCAATATACAAAAATGGAGGGAGTGTAACCGGTATATTATGTTTGTTAATAGTATGGACAACATTAAAATGTTTTTAAAAGTTAAAAGAAGAAATTTCATTAAAAAAATTTAAAATACTAAACATTTTATGCAAATAATCGTGGGGAAAAAATATCTTTATTAAAAAAAAACTGTCATTTTATTTGAAATTCAGTTCGATGCATGCATATTGATATAAGGTCTTGTCTTTTCTCCCCTCATTATTGCAGTTATGGAAAGAAAAATAAGTCATGAATGGTGACAGTTTATTTCTCTACTAATCTCAATGTTTTTATCAACTAGTGAAAGGAGATTGTTTGTTTTGAAAAAGAGAAAAATTTCCCCGTCTTTTTAAAAAAAGAATCTTGTCACTTTCCCTCATATCATATGCTCATAGTCCGCTTATAGATCCATGACGTAAATAGGGTAGCACAATGTTAATAATTAGAGGAAGATAACGAGTCATCAAATGATTTTTCAAGTTAAAGTGTAAAATTAGACAATTATTTCATCTTTTTTCCTTACCTTATAATTGTAAAACACATATAAATAAGATAAGGGCAGGATAGTTTTAAGAACCTGCGTTGATGATTGTATTTTTTTCATTATTGGAGAAAAATAAATATTATTTCACATATACCAATTAATAAAAAATAAAATGAAAATGATTACTGATGCATTTATATTACCATTTTTAAAAAAAATTTAAGTAAATTGGATTATTGAAGTTTTCCAATTTTAGATCTTGTTTTATGGTTGAAGCAATGCTCACAAATATAACTCTAAATACTTATAGATTACTTTTTAACAAACTCTACTTCAAATTACTATTTAGTTGGATCAATCTTGTTGACTTCAATTTTGCCATTTTATCAAGAATATTAATGCCAAATAAAGTTAGTATAAATGGTAAGAGCTCTCATCTAGAATTAATTACAAATATAGTAATTTAGTTGGGAGAAATCTGAAGTTTATTCGTACTTTAAAATAATAATGATGATTATTGATGATAATAATAATAAATAACCATTATTGTCGAAATTTTGTGTATCTAGTTGTTGCCACGTCTTTTCACAATTCATTGATATAGTAGAAGAGACAAAGGATTTATGAATGGGCATTCTTATGTTTATTTTTTTATCGTCTCTAAAATTTTTGGCTTTTGCTAATGAAACTATATATTTTCCCACAAAAGAAAAACATACCTGTGGGCAATTAGGTAATTCTAAAGATCCAAGTATGTGGAGCCAGTAAATGCAATAAGCTGTCATAGTGATTTGTTATCACATCTTTGCAGAGAGGACATCTCTTGCCAACGTCCTTCATACGAACATGGGACATGAGACACATTACTTGACAATGAATCCATCAATAAATTATTGGCCGAGGTGAAATGAACAAGTACTTTCTTTTCTTTTCTTTTCGTTTTTGCCAACGAGACAAATGCTTTCTTTCTTGACCCTGTCAAAAGAAAATTAACGTGTAAAGAACTACAATTTCTGTGTGTCTTAATTTCTTGTTTGGAATAAAGAAATTTCTTGGAGATAATAATAAGAAATGACATTGTGTGTTTGGTTGGCAACAATTTGATAAAGTTAACTTAATTAGTTTAGTATTTCACCAAAATAATTAGATTTTTAATCGATGATGCGTATATAGATATATTATTTTGTCATTTTTCGTTATATCAAAATATATTGAAGTTCATAATTGATGAAATTTCCTAGACATTTTCCATATCATTGATGTAGCCCTAAAAAAGGAATTTCCTCTTATTTTTCTATGCTAACTCTTTAAATCAAGTCAACTTTAGTATCTTTAGCATTGCGAAAGGGGCACAATAATTCTAATCTTACATAAAAATATTTGTGTAATTTATTATTCATTTTATTCTTTACGTTCTCTCCCTTAATTTCTGATTCATTTTCTTCCGTTTTTTTAGAAAATTTATAGAATGAAAAATATAGGTGAATTTTATAATATAATTTCCTATTTAATCCTGCAATTAAATATTGGCTCCCTTCTGTTTGGCTCTAATTGTATGGACCTACTTTCATTTCATGAGTAGGATCTCTCATAGTATTTCACTTTTAATTGTACTCTCTACTAAAAAAGATTACATTTAATTCTTGGACTGAATTTGAATAGTCCACCTCTTTTCCCGCCATAAATATGAATACTTTTAGAAAAAATTGATCTTTTAGTCCTTCAACTTTTAATTCACTTGTGGCTCAGTCTCTCAATTATAACTCACCATGACTCAGTCCCTCAACTATAACTCGCTTATGACTTAATCCCTTAACTTTTGAATCACTTACAAATTAGTCCCTGAACTTTTGTTAATTTTTTTTTCATGTTAGCTTGTATCTCATATCAATGAGCAAGATGAGGATATTTTAGAATAATATATGAGCATTTTTTATCCCTCTTATTTGATAAGAAATTTTTTTAAAAAATTTAAAAATAAGGACCAAATTATAGGTGAATCAAAAGTTGAGGAACTGAGTCACAGTGAGTTATAGTTAAGAGACTGAGTCATAGCGAGTCATAGTTGAGGACTGAGTTACAAGTGAGTTAAAAGTTGAAGGATTAAAAGATTAATTTTCCCATACTTTTATTAGATTCACAATTTATTCCACTTTTATTATTATTGAAGTTATTATTGAAGACTAGTGCTAGCTTATCAATATATATATAGCAAGACCTTCTTCACTATCCAATTCAATGTTAGAGGCCTTGAACCAATTCATGATGGCGAACCTTTGGTTTCATTTTTCCTTCTCCATGTTCTCATTCCTTTGCTATCTCATGGTCTGTCTTACTTTATGTCACACCAATTTCACCAAAAATGATGAACTAGCACTTCTTGCTCTCAAAAATTCTGTGAGAGACCCATTCAATCACTTGGCTAATTGGTCTAACTCTTCCTCCATTTGCAATTGGGTTGGGGTTACTTGTGATTCTGAAGATGAGAGAGTAAGTGTATTGAATCTTGCTCACATGAGTCTAATGGGCACCTTACCATCACAAGTGGGGAATTTGTCCTCCCTTTTTGAACTTGACCTTCATAATAACAACTTTCATGGTGAGTTACCGAAGGAGCTGCTGCAGTTACACAAGTTGAAAATTCTCAACCTTAGCTATAATGAATTTGATGGGAAAATTCCAGCTTGGATTGGAAGTTTATTTTCTCTTCGACACCTGATCTTTCATGATAATAGTTTCCAGGGCATTATTCCTCCAAGTGTATTGAATTTGTCAAACTTAGAGACTTTGGATTGGAATAGCAATTTGATCCATGGATCTATTCCACTTGAGATTGGAAGGCTTCAACATTTAAATATTTTACGTATAGCAAGGAACAATCTTTCAGGAAATATACCTCCAACTATTTCTAGCTTATCTTCACTTGAGCTGATGTCTTTGTCATTCAACTCCTTAAAAGGTATGCCTTTGATAATATCAGATAAATTTATATTTGCTCCAAGTCATTTCAAATAATTTTGTGTTGGTGTTAGTGCATCTTAGGATAAGCTATTAATTACAATCTCTCATTCAACCTTCATTTGCCCAATTTTGTTCATTATTCAAAAAGAATATATATACACACACACACATATACATATACATACCTACATACATACATACATACATATATATAGATATATATAAAGCAAATAGATATATAATAGGAGTGAAGGGAAGCTCCACTAAAGAATTATGAAAATGTTTGGATTCGTGGATTTGAATTTAAATTTAAATTTTAGATTTAAAATCTTGCATTTTAAATCTTACATTTAAAATTCATGTATTTAAAATCTTTGGTCTAGGTAGTTTAAAAGAAATCAAATGAGAGATTTAAAAAAGATACGAGAGTCATGGAGATGTTAATAGTGAAAACACAAAAAGAATGATATGTTTGAAGTGGTTAGAATTTCAAATGACTAGGATGTATAGAAAATTTAAAATTACAAAAAAAAATATAATAAGACATGGATCCATAAATTCTTGTGGATCCATAAATTCTTGATAAAAGAAAATCCAAATCCTTGTTAATCCAAACACAAACATAAAAAAAAGAGTTCTATAAAAAGTCAGTGGAAAAAGAAAAACATGTATTGAGTGTAAATTTTTAGGTGAATTCTATGTTTTTTTCTTATTGACTATAAACAACGTTGTAATTTTAACTGAGCTGCATAAAAAGGTGTAACGCACATAATTTTCAGCTTCTGATTGGTTGGTGACTAATGTTTAAGAGGAACCAGCTTTGGATATTATAATTAACTATTGTATAAAAAGGTTTAGGTTTTGGGCTGTATAGATTCATTAGTGTGTGGCAGTAAATCAGACATGATCGCATGGGTATAAATTGATTAAAATTAAATATTCATTATGGGCTTCCAAGGTTGTTTTTTCCCCTGTTCCTTGAGTTAAAATTTACTATCTATCCCCCAATAGTCCTTGTCATTCTAACTATATTCAATTGACAACTCTTCGCACACAATAATTTTATGGATAGGGTGGAAGAAACATTTTCAAAAGTAACTACACTTTCAGGCTATCTTCATTTGAACCAGCGCAGCAGTTAGAATCAAAGATGGGTGGGAGATTTTTTTTTTTTTATTATATAGATATATACATTGACTATGGTATTTGAATTTTCATTTTTAATTTTTATGATCAGTTTTGAAAAAAGTTATTTTATGATTTGAGAGAAATGTTATTAGATAACTGGTGATGTATAATAATATAAAACTGAAAATGCAATATATAAAAATATAATATATTAACTTTACAAAAGTACTTCAATATAAAAAACTATGTAAAGAGCTTGACCATATATCAAAATGATTGCCTTCAATAGGAAGATATGTGTGAGTAATAAAAAAAATAACATTTCAATGATTTAGGAATGGTAAAGATACAAATTCAACAAAGTTAATGTTTTATTCATATTTTTGCATAATATTATATACTCCTATATAGTACACTATTTTCACCCGTTTTTTATATTATAATTATTGTTCGCAATTCTAATTTATTCATATATGTTTTGTGAGTTTTGATATATTGTTAAAAACTTTTCATATTATTATGATTTATTTTTAGAGTAAAATACATTCAGCTACACGGCTTTGGCTTTTTGGTTGGTGTACTGCATTATGTATATCTAACCAAAAAGTTGGAGGGTCGGACCGGCATCAAAGAGAAGAATAAAATATATTCATTTATCTTTAATTTTCTTAATATTAATGAAGCCAACCCATACTTTTCAAAATATAGACTTTAGTTTCATTTTTGTTAACTCTGTTGAAAGTAATTTATCAAAGATTCTCAAAGGTGAATCATGGCAATTTAAACTTACTATTATACCCTTCACCCAAACCATTAATTCCATTCCTAACCGTATGACTCTCCCTTGCCTTTGAACAAAACAACGCAGGCAACACACGACATAATGATGCACTTTTTTTATTTTATCCAATCATTTATGCACCATAATAAATAACTAAAGTTCCAGCATACCAAGAAAAAAGTACACTTTCAAAATTTATCTATTTATTCTAATGAAATTTTTGGTCCCATAATATTTGGTTGAAAATCAATTAAAAAAGAGCTCAAATTAGCGGCTACACGTAAAATAATTTGTTTGGTTTAAGAGCTTTGTCATTTTCAAATTTTTTTAATACAAAGTCAGGACTGATAATATTTTGATCAAAATAACCTTAAAAGAATGCATTCATAAAATTATTATTGTTACTTATATTTCTTTCTTATCATAACCATTTTGTACATGTGAACTCATAATAATGTGGTTTTCTCATTATCACATTGTAGGAGATATTCCGGAAACAATTGGTGCTCTCACAAACATGAAAATTATATACCTAGGGATTAACAAGTTGTCTGGCCAAATACCAAGAAGCATTGGAAACTCAACTTTGCTTCAGGAATTACAACTCAATGACAATAACTTGGAAGGTATGCTTTCAACCACTCATAATGCATAGCTTTTCATCAATTTTGCGCTTTTCTGTGCGTTATTATTGGTCACGTGGTCCATCCGTCAACTATATTTGTCTGATATTGTTTAGAAATCTTATCCTATTTACCTCTATTTTTTTAAAAAAAAATAGAGATGAGCATATAATATTGTTATCGATTTTTGAAGAATTTCATTTTCAATTCCATGTTATCCTAGCTATATGTGTATTCGAATTATCAAAGTTAATTAGCACAATTTATTCAAATTAACTTCCCCTGAGAAAACTAATGTTTGATAATTCCTAGACTACTGTTACTTTTCAACGATATATTCTAAGATGCATTGGAAATTTGATTTTGCTTTAAAAATTTGATCTTGGTCAAAATAACTTAAAAGGTATGCTATTAGTAAATTTTAATTCGGTATCATCAATTTTTTGTTTCCTTTATGTTGTTGTTTTGTCTTTTGAAACTTAATAATTATAAACTTAAATGATAATAGCTTTCTAGTCAAAATACCATTAATTATATGTAATATTAGAGTTAAAACATATTCATTTGAGTGATAATGTTAATATGGAGTACATCAGTATTAAAATATAAGGTATCCACCTCATTTGTTTCTCTTAAATTGTAAATAAGAAGTAAAAAAAATGGAAAAAATATAAAACTTTAATCCTTATAGTTTTACCAAATTCTAAGAAGCAGTCCCTAAAGCAAATAATGAATTATGATTCTATTTATCTCTATTTTAAGAGATAAAAACAGAGGTAAACATATACGGCTGTACACTATACACAATGCCAAATTTTATTTATTTTTATTTAAGGTGTTGGGCAAAGGCGCAAGAAAGAGAAAGAGACCTTGAAATTTCATTATTGATTTTTTTTTAGTAATGCTTAATACTTAACCACGTCATCTATCATATAAGAATTCATTTGCAATATTATCACTTTCCTGGTATTTCATTGGTTCTATCAGCAGGGCCATGTGTAACACTAATCCATTAAGGCTGTCATCTTAGGCCTAAAAACTGTTCATTTGTATCCTATATAATCGGTTATTCTTTTTCTTATTAAGCAATAATGTTAATTATACATTTTCATTAAGAATTTATTACTTACTTTTATCTTAGATAACCAATAATTAATTTTTTTACTAAGATTAATGTTAATTATATCTCTTCATTAGAAATTTATGGCCACATATACTCTCTCACAACCATTTTGTCGTTTCATCTATTATTTTCTCTCAACCAAATCATTTCTTGCTCTACCACTATTTTCTTATTAAAAAAATATAGCTCTTGTTCAACCGTTTCCATGGGCACGGCTTGATTGATAACTTGATTTTCCATTTGTCATTATGAAGTCCACAAATCCTTTTGTTTGTTCATAGGAGTTTCGCACTGCTATTAAGAGAATAAAGAAATGCAATCATAGATGGCCATATATATTAGGTGTATTTGTTCCTCTTTTACCCTTTATTTGTGATTGTTTTAATTTTTATAGAATTTGAAGTGGTAAAATAATAATATATTAGACCTCTAAAATGATTTCACCTTAGGCCCTAAAACTCCTTCAGATCTGCCTGTCTTTGAGTGTTTGGTTTCAGAGGTTGTAGAGGACTGAACCAAGAGCCAGTTCCTAATACAATAGGTGGAATTGGATGGGCCAATCTATTTAGAAACCATGACTTTTCTTGTGGTTATGTCATCATTAGTTGCTATTGGAACTTTAATTCTATCCATGGACCTATTCCAGTTGAGACTGGAATGCTTCAATGTTTAAAGATTTTAAGTTTAGCAAGGAATGATATTTCAGGAAAAATACCTCCAACTATTTTTGGCATATCCTGACTTGAATTGATGTCATACAACTCCTTAATAGGCATGTCTTTAATAATATCAGATAAATTCATATATTTTGTCTAAATCATTTCAAAAAATTTAATACGCGTTAGAATAAGCTATTTACAATATTTTATTCAATATTGATTTTGTTGGATAGGGGAATGGGATATATATATATATATATATATTGATTATGTTGAGTAGGGAGCAATAAATGAATCTAGAAATTATATATAAAAATTTAATACGTGTTTTTGTTTTTTGTTTCACTTTGTACTGTCAGGTTCGTTTTGAATTGAAGTTTTTGTAGTTGGCCAAAAAAAAAAATTATGCTTTCAACACAACATAATGTATTAACATCATTTAGTATTCTTTGCACTGCCAGGAACACATATGATGCATGCTTTTATTAGTTTTTGTGCTTTTCATTTGGTTCTTGGAGCCATAGTGCAAGAAATACTTTTAATGGTTTTTAAATTTATATGATTTTTCATACAACATATGTTGTCCATGTTCATCTCCATAAAGTTATGATGTATTTCTATGATTTTCTATAATATATACACTAGCACTCATATCAGTTTTTTTATTGTTATTGCAATTATGCAAGAGATATTCCAAATGAAATTGCCAATCTTACAAATCTTAAAATTATGTACTTGGCTCATAATCAACTCATTGGCTACTTTTCGCTTCATGAATTATATCTTAGTTCCAATAATTTACAAGGTATAATGTTTATGCAAATTATAATTCACTAGAGGTTATTTCTTTTTTCTTACTTCTTGTCTCTTGCAACTTGAAATTATGAACTTAGATGCTAATAGGTTTCGTCAAAATGCTATTAATTATATATCCCAAAATGTATAAGTCTAGAATAAAATTTTTTTTCTCACAAAAAATATTGGATTAAATTTTTATGCATAATTTGTTGTAGTTTATGGTGTCATTGAGAACTCAACCTGTTACAAAGATTTCAAATATAAAAGGGGATAATTTCAGTTTGGTCTCTTGTAAGGAAACTTCCATTAAATTTCAAAGGACTTTTTTTTTACCCAACTGCTGATATATTCTTAAGGCAAATAAACCAGTATAGTACAACTGAAACCGCAAACGACAACAAAGCAACAAAATAAGGAAAGCAACAAAGCAAAAACACAATCAGCAACAAAATAAGAGAGATCAGTCAAATAATTTTAACTAGTAGATGAGACAAAGGAAGTGATAATGAAGACACCCATCCTATTAGAACCAACAACAATATGCTTGATTTTTAATTTCAAAGGACTTTAATGATATTAAAAATCAAGCATATTTACTAAATCCAATTTTAATAAAGGAACGGTATTTTGTTTAAAAAGATGAGTATTTTTTGTAAGTTTTAATTTTTTTATTTTATAAAAATTTCTTGGGATTTAAATGAAAATTCTCTAATTTAAATTTAATTTAAAAATTAAATACAAATAATTTTAACTAAATATTGGCCCGTGTCTCTTTTTTAACTTTCCCACCCTAATATCTTTTAGACATATATATCAACACTTGTAGTGTTGTAATTTTTATTTTGTTATATTGATACACCCACGTAATTATATAAAAAATTAGTTGATAACTTTTCAAATTTCGTCGATAATGTTATCGTCACAATTGCAGTCTTACCTTTTTTTTTTAAAAAAAAAAAGGTTCTACTTACTATAACCCCCATAAATCTCAATAATATAATATACTTAGATTAAATATTTTAAAGTATATCATATTTTATAATTAAAGTTTTGGTAAATATTTAGATTAAATATTTTAAAGTATATCATAATTTTACATATCCAAACTATTTACTCTTTTTCGTTGTTTTCACTTAGTTAATTATAAGAATTTTAAATAAATAGCCCATTTTTTCAGCTTATTTTATGAAAAAATTACTTGTTTTTTAAAAAATATTTTTTGATTTTAATGATGTTTGTTTAAATTTTTGAAAATAGTTAAAATAGAAAAGTAAATTTTTGATTATTTTAAGGAACTACTTTGAGAGAGAATGCTTTAAAAATGTAGGATGCAAGAAAATATACTAGGATTTTAAAATAATTAAATAATAAATTATTTTTATAAAACAGAAATAAAGAAAGATATTATAAATTTTAAAAATAACTAACTAATAATTAATTTTTATTATTGTAATCAAACATAAAATAATGTAAGCTTTTTATAAAATTTCAACAAAATGATTCTTTCATAAAATCCCTAAATTATCTAATAGTAACTTATTTTTTAATCTTTAACAAATGGATCCAAAAAATACAAAGAATACAAAATGTTAATATGTAAATAGAAAGTAAAATTTGGATGGATCCAACGTTGGTTTATCCAATTTTGTTACTTATCAATCACAGTCAATTTTGCTTTTATTGGCTATAAACTTCATTAGAATTTTAATTAAAAAGAATAAGTGGGTAAGAAATCAAATTCTGATTGGGCTTTAAGAATGATTAGAGTGGTAGCATGGCATATATTGGGCTTTATTTGAGCAAAAATTATTGTTTGGTATAAAATGCCAAAAGAACAAGTTCAAGGTATATCATATAAGGATCCGCCACTGAAAAAAATAAACATACGATAACAAATCTTAAAATGTGTAATCAATTTATCCAACTGATAGCATTTCACTTGCAAGAATTTTATAGATGGCATGAAAAAAAAAATCTAAAGATAACCAAATTATTAAGCTATCTCCATTATTTTGAATTGGGGCTAAAATGAGAATAAAAGGTGAATGAGAAATTTTTAAAAAATATATATAGGTACATAAATAAACTGCAGTATATATTTCAATTTCCACTTTTTAGTTTTATTATAGATATTTTTAAAAGTAATTTACTAATTTTATGATTTGAGAGAAATGTTATTAGATAATTGATGGTGTATAATAATATAAAACTTACAAATACCTTGTTGTTGGGTGATTTGTAAGTACATTTGTAAGTAATTTTTGAGGGAGGTTTGTCTTAGCATTGTTGAGCCCCTAGACCTAACTCATCTAAACTTTCTGAAAGCAAATATAAAACTTATAAATACAACCATATAAACATATTACCAACATATTAACATCAGAAAATAACAATAAAATCCCATCAAAATATAAGAATGACAATAAGGTTCCTTAAAATATCATAATTCCTCGAAGTCTTTAGGTATCTTTATGACATTAATGATTTCTGTTTAGCTATGAAAATAATCAACAACTTAATAATCTATATATATGTTTGTATCATTTCTTAAAATGGCATTCTTTGCATTGTCCGATGTAATTATATTTCTGAATTTGTTTTCTTCATCATATAAAAGGAGATATTTATAATGAAATTTTGGTGATGTTCGGAAATTAAAAAAATATGAGCTCAGATGTATTGTATAAAAATATGGCTACTGTGGTGTAGTCCCTCCATTTTTATTTGTAGGAGAAAAAAATTCTATCACATAATGTAAAAAAATCAGTTAAGTATATTAATTGTGTCTAAAAATAAAAAAAAATTGATTGTAATACCTTTTATTAATTGTGTTAACCAAGCATTTATCAATTGTTTCTTATAACTATGAATGATAAAATTATGAAAGATAATTTAAGAATTTTGTAATAAATACTTATTAAAAAATGTGATTGTTTTTATATAAAAAAAATAAAATGAAAGTGGTAGTTTTTCCTAAAAATGAAAACGGAGAGAGAAAGGCGGTGCAGTGGACTTAGTCTCTCTGTTTAAATTATTTTAATCACATCAATTAAACTTGCAAGTTCCCATTGGCCATAGCTGTCGTATTGCATACTCTACCTATTAAAAGCAAGGAAATGAAACAGAGGAGACACTGCTAGCCTCCCACGCAAGCAACTCGGCATGGTACAGCGCGCTGGAGAAATTGGTGGGGAGCAGTTTGTTTGTTTCACTGCTAGTCGCTTTAGATGGATATGTTAAAAGCCCATTGTGACTGAAGAAATTGGAGAAAGCCCATTAAATGGGATAATAGCATTTTGTGGCCCATTGTCTTCATTGGTAATATCCCCTTATTGGTCAGATTCACGTTTTCTCCATATGGCATTTCAACAAAATAGTTTTGTTGGAAATTGGCTTGTAGGCCCATTTCCTTACCCGTCACTTCCTCCATAACTTCAACAATTATTTGGGCCTTATTCCCAACAAGTCCACTAGGAGCCTTACTATGAGATCCACCACCCTTGCCCTCACATGATTCATTATCTAAAAAATTCCCCTTCTCCCTCATATCTTCACTTCTTTTCATCCGCTCACTATTCCGCCTATTTTGCTCATAATTTACAGGAAATTTTTCCGCCCTTTCATTTCTCTTCTCATTCACAATGTCTTCCCCATTTTCCACTTAAGATCCATCATTTTCGCCATAATTTCCTTTCTTTCCATACCTAGCACTCTCATTCCCTACACTCCTATGATGGTGGTTTCATCCCCTTTACTAGGACTTCCGGCCACCCTTCACGGCATACCTCCACGCCTCATCCATAGTCCTCACATTAGTTGTACTTAGCTAGTGCCCAAACTCTTCTTTATCCGACTCATCCTCCCTAGTATCCTCTACAAATCCAAATCCTTTTGCATCGTGACCAAAACGCCTGCACTGGTAACAGAACGATTGCAGCCTTTCATACTTTACCGTTATCCATATCGGGTCTCGTCCAAGTCAAGGAGTCTAGAACCCAGTCACTAATGGTTGAGTAATATTAATAAAAACTCTAAACACGAATAAAAGTTCTTATAAGGCTTTTTCCCATCTTCGGATTTTCTATCATGACCAACTTCCCCACTGCATTACCCAAGGTAATGGCATTTTTTCGGTCCATCACCTCAATGGTAAGCCATGGAATTGCACCTAAAAATGACACAATGAAAAATAACTTCTTTATACACCACGAAATCTTCCCATACTGTAAACTAAACAGATGTCCTTGAATCGACCATAGGGGACCTTTAAGAATTTTGGTATAGTCCTCCACACGATCAAACCGGAACAAAAATTCATGCACAATCTTATCAACATCATGAATTTCAACCTCCTTCTCCACATTCCATCCTTTTTTTATCATGGAGATAATCATCCCCATATTTAGATTTTTTTAAATAATAATTCTTCCAACCAAAGCCTTCCTTGTATTTGTTTTTTTTTTTTTTGCTTCAAATCCAATACCACCTCTTTTCCTTTTCTCTTTCCCCTTCTACTCTGTCCAACCTCCATGCCTCCTCACCCCAATAAATACACACGCACACTAGCACACAACACAACCACATAGAGATTCACTAGTCCCTTGAAAGAACTGAACAATGTACAGAAAATCTCGCCGCTAGAAGATCACTCTAAGGATCTCACCAAGCCCTCATGAAATGGAGAGAGAGGAACTCCCATAGTGGATAGAGAATAACTCACACAATGGAGAGAGAATAAAGCGCAATAATGACATTTTACAAACACACTTCTTCAAAACAAAACTACAAACTTTTAAAAGTATCCCTATGCATTTAATCATTACGCTACAATATCATTTCAATTCTCTCTCTATTTATAGGGTAATATTAGAAAAGTATCATTAATAAAATCTTATTTTTTTCAAATTGTTCTATATTTTGGGATACAAAATTCCTCTAAAGTTGTCTTATAATTTAAAAAGGAGGGAGTATCCTTTAGTAAATTTCAATACAAAATAACATTGTTTTTTCATTTCTTAAAAGTAGTTATCTATCTCCATTTCCAACAGACATTTTTTGTTGGTTTTATTTTTGTATTAAATTTTTGTTTAACTCAATGGTACCAGGTTCAGCCTCAACTTTGTTATGTAGGAGAGGTTGGAGGATCGAACCTGGAGAGGCTCTCCTCAAGGAGAATAATCCACATACTACTGTGGGAAAACCTTTGTCTCCTAATGCTCACCGAAAGGGGTGGAGTCACCCTGTTGTGGGGTCTGAGAGGAGAGTGTCCAGCGCCTCGGGTGACGGTGAGATCCCGAGGAGGGCTGTTACAGCTGTTTTCTCATTTGTATGAAGCAAATGATACAAGATCCAATATATAATTAATTGAAATGAAATGGTCCAACTTGGTGTCCAGGCATTTAAACAGGCTAACCATGAGAAAATTTGAAGCAAAGCTTGCCGTATAAAAACATAAAATACAAGTATTGTCATAATTGGTTCTAACTTGTCCCAAACGAGAGGAAAATATCTTTAGTCATTCAGATTTGTGGCTCATATGCACAAGAATTGTTTACTCTATTTACCTCCATATTTTGGGCTAAAAAACAGGTGTAATCATATAACACTGTTCATGATTTTATGAAGATTTTCCCTTCCAACTCGATTCATGCTTTTTTTTTTCTTTTTGGAATCTCACAATAATATCTTTTTCTTCTATTTATTTTTCAGTCATTAGTTCCATGAATAGTTTCCTTTTAATTCTCTACATAGAGAGATGCATGAGAGATATTGAATCAAATTATGGGTTGTCCTATGTCTCTGTTGCTCTATCTCAACTATTTTTGCTTAATGGCTTTGGTTATCTTATCTTCTTTTGACTTCCCTTTCCTCAATCTCAGAATCATTCTCTGTTGCTTGTTTGGAAATCCAATTTTTGAAAAAAAAATAAGAATTGTGGAATGATATTGAATATATAATATTTTTATAAAAATTGTCTGAAGTGAAAATTTTTAGTTGATTTATATAATCTTTTTCTTTTCCACAAACATCATTACGATTTTAATTTGGACTCATTGAAATGAGTTTATGCCTATGCCATGATTAATTCTTCACCTTGTTTGATAAATTTATGACTCTGAATCATTTTTTGGTAGACATATAAATTTAAATAGGTGAATTTGTTGAAAGTTATGTTTTACATTTACATCATTATTATTTAGACCCTCATTAGAATTTCAAATTGAGAATAATACTTGAAATCTGTTTATATATATATATATATATATATTAATGTTGAAGTACTATAAGTGTCCAATCATTATCATAGTTGTTCAATTAAGATAAAAAAAAAAATTCGCCAGACATAAAAATGACTTTATGTTTACTAGTTAACCCCGTAGTTTTTAGTTTGCTCAATAAATAATACCATCTTGAAATTTCTTTTTATCTAAAATTGAATGTGATTTCGCAAAAAAAAAAAAATTAAATATGTGAATTTCAATGCCTGTTTTCTTTGACAATGTAGGATTTATAGATCCCAAAATTCAATAATCAAAATCTATAAATACAAGTGACATATATATATTGACTATGAAATTAGTTAATAGATATATGATCATTTGCCTTTGAATATTACAACTTTGATCATCATTGTGCTAATAAAATTGTTTCCATCTTATAACCTCTCATTAATTGCCATTTGTCAATACTGCACTGCACCAAACCAAAATTTTTAAGATATAAAAATTTTGCAACTTCATAATTGGGGTCCAAAACATTACAACCTTTTCTCTTTTTATTTTGCAACTTCAGCTTTTTTAGTTAAAATATTAAATTCATTATGATCAGCAAATGCCAATATTGGGGGCAAACTCATTAATGAGAGAGACAAAGGTCGCAAATTGGCTTTTATACTTCCTGCACACCATCCTAATTCTGAAATTAAGGAAGAATAAGTTATAAATAGTTTCAAAAGCTATCTTATAAGTTTCCTTCCCTCTTGCATCTAAGTTCAAGAGTTATATTTTGATGGATGACACTGGATTTGATGGATCTTTTATATATATATATATATATATATATAACATTGTAGGAGGTATTCCTGAACAGATTGGTAATGTTAAAAATCTGAAAATTCTATATTTAGCCTCCAGTAAATTTTCTGGCCAAATACCATCAACTTTCTTCAATATATCTGAGCTGCAAGAGATTGATTTAAGTTGGAATAATTTGTCGGGAGGCATTCCCTCAAATATATGTCATGGCCTTCCAAATTTACAAGCTTTGCTTCTTCAAGGCAACAAATTATTTGGAGCTATGCCATCTAGTTGGAGACAATGCAAGCAGCTCAAAACGTTAAGAGTTAGAAATCAGCTTCTTTACAGGTATGTACTACCCACAATGCAAAATCTCTAAATTCAATCTTATCAAATATATTTTGATTGCACTTTTATGCATTGGACATTGGTGTTGATCAAAACCATAAAACAAATTGGACTTCCATAATTTTTATTTAAACAAAAATCCTTCTCAACAAATTAAGTTATATTTATTAAAATAAACAACTTAGGAGCCCATATCAAACATATTTTTGAAAGAAACATAAAGTAAAATAAAAATTGGGTATTATTTTTAATTAAATATAAATTTTGTTTTTTCTTAGAAAGGCTTTCATCAGGCTTCAAAATCTAGTACCCTGTGTTTGTGTTCGACGCTCCCTTATGTATATACATATGTATGCATACACAAACAGACACACACATAAAATTAAGACCCTATTGGATCATTTTCAACATATCAACGTTGTGCTTCAAAGATTGGTATTTATATTCATTAATGTTTCTAAAAGTGCAATCAAACCCTAATATTCCTTCAGATCCCAAAACTGTAGTTTCGTAGTAACAGTTTTGTAGTTGACTATGGTTCTCATAACATGTTAGCAATTTGGTTATTCTTTCTTCCCTCTTGCACCTGGGTCATCGCTTGGAGTTTGAAAAGTATCTCAATTGTAGGCATGTATTAACAATATGACAAATTATTTCTAATTGCTACTATTATTTTTTCATTTCCTTATTTCCATTTTACTCTTTCATACAAAATATTTTCTTTATTTTGTGAAAAACAATTATTATAAGACTATTTTTATTTTTTTGTCTCTACACAAATTTCTTATATTTTAAGAGAGTGGATTAGGAAAAGAAAAAATTTCCAAGTGAGTCTATATTCTTTTTCTTGGGCCGTTTGTTTAATATTAAAAGATAAATAATTTTTAGATAGCTTAGATATTTATAAAAATAGATTTATCTTCAAAAGATTTCATAAAAATCATTTATTATTTTATGTTTGGTTACAATAATAAAAAATAGTAGTTATTTCGTTATTTTTAGATTTTATAATGTCTTTGTGGATCGCTATTTATGACAAAAAATTTATTGTTTAGTTATTTTAAAATTTATAATATCTTAATATATCTCCACATTTTTAGGTCATTTTCTCTAATCTACTGTATCATATTATTTTAAGAAGCTATACAAAGAAATTTTTCAAAATAATTAGAAATATAATTTTTTGTTTCAGATTGTAATTATTTTTAAAATTTTAAATAAGCATTATAAAATTTCACAAAATAGATTTTTTTTTCAAAAAAATAAGTGATTTTTTATGAAAAAGAGCTTAAGAGCCCATTTGCTTCAGCTTATTTTATGGAAAATCACTTATTATCTGCAAAAAAAAAAAATTATTTTATGAGTTTTTTTCGTGATATTTGTTTAAAATTTTGAAAATGATTAGAATAAAAAAAGCATATTTATTATTATTTAAAAAAGCTACTTTAAGCGGCTTTTAAAAATAATATGATATTGTAGATGAGAGAGAATGCTTTAGAAATGCGAGACATACATGAAGATATCCTAAAATTTTAAAATAATTAAATAATTAAATATTTTATAAAACAAAAGTCAAAGAAAAAATCATAAAATTTAAAAATAACTAACTAATAATCACTTTTTTATTGTTGTAACCAAACATAAAATAATTTTTTCTTTTTATGCAATCTCTATAAAATAAAATTCTTATAAAATCTCTAAACTATCTAAACAATCAATTATTTTGAATCTTAAACATATGGGCCGTAAATAAATTGGCCTTTAATGTCATTTTGTTTGGAAAACAACTCCATATCCTGAAAATAAAATAAATTAAATGAAGTAATAACTGAGTGGTAGGACTCTTGTCACTTAAACAAGTAGTTAGAGGTTTGAATTCTAACTCTTATGTATGTAGCAACTTACTTACAAGAGGTCTACCATTTATCCTTATCGTCTCAGGAGAGATAATATTTGCCATTAGCAGGGCCTTCTCTTTGTGTTATAAAGATTAAGAAAGAAATAAAGAGAGTGAGAGTGGAGGAGAGGGACTTTTATTTTTTTTTCATTTTTATGCAAATGAAATTAATTTTCTAACCAACCAACTAATTATATTATATTCATAAAAAATAAAAAACAAATACATAGCCTTTAAGAAACTTGTTTTAAGAAAAATAACAAATTAAATAAGCAAACGCTTAATACCCCACGAGTTACTACCCACTTTAAATGATTTTTACATGCATCGTTTTAAATAAATATATTGAATTTTTACTTTTCATTTTCATTTTCCATTTGTGTTCTTTTACTATATTGTTGGAGATTTTCCTTAAAAAAAAAATCTGCGGAGATCATGGAAATTTTAAAATTAGGATTTTGGATACTAAAAATTATGATGCCATATAGTATGTTGTTCCATGCTACGATCTCTCCCACTCTTACCTCTGCGTTAAACACTTGATTAGTTTAGCTAACAACTAGGTCTTGTTGTCACACAATGTACATCATCATCATCGAGCATTACTTTCGATACCACATGTTATGCCATAACAGAATATTGGGACGTTGGACTTGGGCTGAAACATAAGCCCAATGAGCATTATTTGTCTAATAATTATTTCTTTCTTCTAGAATCATCCCATTAGTTAAAAATGATAAAACTGGAATCTTTGGATTTCTAACAAGGTGAACAACGTAATAACATTTTTAAAGTGTGGCAAAATATTGGAAATATTTTATATTAGAAAATGAGGAAGTATGTTATTATTGTTGCGCTAAAGGCTATCACTATAGATTTAGATTTGCGAGTAAAAAACTTTTTCAAATAATGTCTTTTGCATTGGATTAATTCTTTAACTGTTGTTGATAACTAGTGGTAGTTAGAACGTGTTATAGTAGCTCTTTACTCTAGCAAGCCAGCTTTACCGGGGGGGGGGGGGGGGGGGAGATCTCAGAAAGAGCAATCGTGCAGTAATGATGTTGAATGCATTATTAATCAACGTCGGAGTGTGCTTCAATGGAATTTGACAATTTGAGTTTTATCTAATGTGTCCCTTATGTGTCAATCTTCTTTCAGGCCGTATACCCAAAACCATCATAAACTTGACCATGCTGCAATGGTTAAATATGAATTCCAATAATTTGGAAGGTATTCATCCAACAAATCATAGCATTATATTTTTATGTTTATTTAATCTGTTTCTAAATTACAAGAAATGTTCCTAATAAAATTGGTGATCTTACAAACCTAAACTTTGAAGATATGTTTTAATAGTTTAATAAATTATATATATTTATTTTTTTAGTTTTTAATTTGTTTGTTAACACTAAAAATATATTTCATAAGAGATTGTGATAGTTGAAATTGAAAATTTAAAATTATTAAATATAATAAGTTTTCTCAATTTTAGCCATTAAATGGTATGCAATGGATGCACCTTTAAGACATCAAAAACTTGAGAGTATGATTGAATTTTTATATTTAGATTCAAATGTTCAACTTTTTCAAGGATATGAATAAATAAAAATTCTTTATCTTTTTTTAACAGAATTATTTTTTAATAAATTGAATTATGTTTAAAAAATTAATTTAAAGGATCTATGAAAAAAATAAATGCCCATCTTGTTATAATATATATGACCAGAAAGGAAAAATCAAGATGTAAAACTTGATCAACCTAACATAAAAAGGAGTATCAACAATCATACATCTCATTAGTTATATATTTGTCTTATTCACTATTTTTAGTATTCACTTTAGATAACTTCAGTAAGACTAATCTTTTTTTAATATAGGTTTAGTACCTATGGAAATAGGCAATCTTCAAAAGCTTGAGATCATAGAATTGTCACATAACAAGTTGAGCGGTTCTATTCCATTGAACATGTTTAACATTTCAACTTTGAAATTCTTAGATCTTGAAAGCAATTTTATATCTGGAAATCTTCCATCAAATTTTGGGAATCTCACTAGTTTCTTTGAACTATCCTTGGAAGAAAACATCTTGACAGGATCAATTTCAAAAGCAATTGGTGGCTTATTAGATCTTCAATATTTGAATCTTAAAGGCAATGAGCTACATGGCCTAATCATTGATGAAATTTGTGAAATCATAAAGCTTGCCTACTTATCTTTAAGTAGAAACAAGTTTTCTGGAGGAATGCCCCCTTGTTTAGCAAACAATACCTCTTTATGAGACCTTTACTTGGACTCTAATAAATTAATTTCAGAAATAACCCCTTCCTTTTGGAAGTTGAAGGATATATTGAGGGTAAACTTATCTTCCAATATTTTAGTTGGAAATGTATCATTGAGGATTGGAAACTTAAATGCTCTTGTATTATTGGATTTGTCAAGAAATCATATTTTAGGCTTTATTCCAACAACTCTAGGTGGCTTGAATAATTTGCAAGATCTATCCCTAGCACATAACAATTTGCAAGGAAATATTCTTGAATCATTTGGAAATATGTTGAGCTTAGTAAATTTGGACCTTTCTAAGAATAATTTGTTTGGGAAGATTCCTAAATCTCTAGAGTTGCATATTGATCTTAAGTATGTCAATCTCTCTTATAACAAACTCCAAGGAGAGATTCCAAATGGAGGAGTTTTTAAAAATTTGACTCCTGAATCTTTTATGATGAATCAAGCTCTTTGTAGCAAGCCACAACTCAAAGTGCCTCCTTGAAAAAAAGAAACAAGAAAAAGATTAATGACAATATTGCTTTTATTGAAATGTATATTACCCATTGTTGTGTTGATAATTTTAGTTGTCTCAGGCATTATCCTTTTAAGGCATAAATGACAACAAAATTCAATGGGTCTAGTCAAAAGGGATTTGTCAATTTTAGGAGTGCTCAGAAGGATTTCTTATTTTGAAATCCAAGAAGCAAACAATGCATTTGATGAGAGTAACATGCTTGGAAGAGGTAGTTATGGTTCTGTGTTCAAAGAAAAACTTTCCAATGGAATGATTGTTGCAGTTAAGAACTTCAAATTTGATTCATAAGTAATGTTAAGGAGCTTTGAAAAAGAATGTGACATATTGCGTAAGCACGCCATCACAAATTGGTGAAGGTTATAAGCTGTCATTCCAATGTTGATTTCAAATCTCTGGTGATGGAATTCATGCCCAATGGGAGCCTTGAAAAATGGCTATATTCTCACAACTATTTTTTAGGTTTTCTTCAAAAGTTAAACATAATGGTAAATGTAGCAACTGCTTTGGAATATCTCCATCATGACTTGTAAACACAAATTGTTCATTGTGATTTGAAGCTAAGCAACATTTTATTGGATAATGAAATGGTTGCTCATGTTAGTGACTTTGAAATTTCCAAACTTTTAGATAAAGAGGAATCTAAGACAAACACAAAGACAATACCTACTATTAGCTATGTGGCACCTGGTAATTATTATAAACATAGTGTCTCAAATTTTTCTTCTTCTTTTGCATTCTAACAACTTATATCTTTAACATATTATATTCATAAAAGCTTATTACATATACTGTTACTAATTATTCAGATTAGCAATATTATATTAAATTAGTGCATGGAAAATTAATTAATGTTAATGATAAATATTACATGACTTCTTAATAAACATATTAATGTTATTGATTTGATTCAATTATTAAATATGTAATTTCATTGATAAATTACAATTTATCAAAGTTATGTATGCCTAAAAATTGGTCCCTTAATTCTTTTATAGAGAGAAATGTTCTAGGATATGTCCTTCTAATTTGTTCATGAGATAGGCTCTTCTATTCAAATAGAAAATGAAAGAGCTTTTTTATGAAGTTAGCAATTGTTGAACGTACTTTCATTTGATCATTTTATATGTATATAAAATTATTTAACTAATTAACATTAGAACCTTAAGATGAATGTGTATTTTGAAATATGTGTGCATGGGGTGTGCATGCATGTATTCTTGGATTTGGAGGCTAGGGGTGGTGTATCTTTGTTTCTTCTACATGATCACCCTTCTCAATCAATAAAATTAACATAGAACACAAGGGAAGATGTAATAGCCCAAATAAAAAAAAAGGTCTTAAGTTTGAAACCGCCGGAGCACAAGGAGGAATTTTATTTTTGTTGGTTCTAGCTTATATGAAATTACTATAATGCCTTCTTCCTCATGTAGTAAAATTCTTTTTTTATTTCTTCCTTATCCAGTGGGTGCACGCATAAATAGAGAGAGAGTTCAAGAGTGTTCGATATTGCTCTCTACCCTTCTACCATAACTGACCATCTCTCCCCTCTTTACTCCTGGCTATTACTAGCGACGGAGAAGGCTCGCCACTGCTCAGTGATGTGTAGACACTCCTTCATGCATGCAGACTCTATTTTTCTCTTTTTTTGGTCTGTTACTTCTTTGTGCCGTTCATGTTCGAGTGGCAGTAGGAGTGAAGGACCAAGTTGTTGGAGCTAGAGGGTTTAACTCATAAGTTCTTCCTTTCCCAACTCAACCGTGAGCTTCTTGGGTTGCTTCGCTAGTTTGTGCTCCTTGTTTTTGTTTTTTCCTCTTTACTACGCCATCCGCATCATTCTGTGCCAAGAAAATGTAAAGCATTAGAATTGGGGTAGGGCTGTGCAATGAGCTAGTATTGGTATTGTGAGTCAAGCTTTCTTCCTCTGTTGTGCATGGTGACAGTGTTGTTTGTCTTCTCCCCTGTTCAGCCATAAACCCAACATCCGTATTTTTTTTCTTGTCAGTCTATGGTGTTGATAAGGTAAGGGATCTTCAAGTTTCATTTCTCTCTTAATCTGAACACATGTGATTAGTTGGTGAAGTTACAAAAATCTATGCCTTGTTACTGCTGTTGCCGTGCTATTGTAGGGGGAGAATATTCAAACTTGAGATAGAAATCTATTTTAAAACTTGCTAATAATATATACATGTATAAAGACATATCTACATATATGAGCTATCATTTTGGAGCTACATAGATTTTATTTGGATTGATTTATGTTAAGGAAATTATTAAGGAAAGGTTGGAAGAGGATAACTTTGATATTCTACTTGAATATTGGTATTAACGAGATGCTTGTTGGAATGTTTGAAATAATCTTAAATCATGAATTTTGATTTGAATTTTAAATGATAATGGTTGATATATGCGAAGTAGAAGGAAGTCTTGGTAAATTAACGATGATTTGTTAAATTTTGTTTAATAATATCCTTATAGGACATGTGGAAGAAGAGGATACTGATAGAAATTAAAGATAGAACATTTTGAGAATTTGAAACTTTAACAAGTAAGTGAATAGCATTCCATTTAATTTATTTTTATTTTAATAGCCTTGTTCTAAAATATTTTATTCTTATGAACTATATTAATTTTGAAAACTATGAAATATCAATGAAGGACAAATCAGTTGTGATATGTGCATTTATTGATTCTTGAAAATATATTTTCAAGATTGATGAAAGCATTCTTGTATGATTGTTAAACTTTGAAATTTATTTGATACTTAGTTAATGAAAATTTATGATTTTGGAAAATGTTGAGATTTGAAACAATTCATGCAAGATTGGCAGTAAGAATGATAATTTATTTCAATGATAAATGTTTTCCTCGCATGTTTGAAGTGTGATTTTTAAGAAAACTTAAAGCAGAACATTGCTGCTAATGGCAGTTTCGTTAGCCCATAGCGCTGTGGTTAAACTAACTAGTTTGTTTCGTGAGTTTTATTCTCAAGTTTGATATTCGTGGGCTTTGTACCCATGTTTGATTTCGTGGCCTGAGCCGTGTTTGGTTATTTATCTTTGTGGACTGTGTGTCCACATTTTTTTTGTAGCTTCAGCTGCGTTTGGTTATTTAGCCTCATAGACTGGTATGTCCATGTTTGTTTTCATGGCATAAGCTGTGTTTGATTATTTATCCTCGTGGATTGTGCGTCCATGTTTGTAACCTGTTCTATTGAATTTTCAAAATTTTAAATATTGATTAATATGTGTTTTTGAAATTTATATGATTTTGGCTAGAAATTTTACCACTTTCAGTTTTATGTGAGTTAATTGTTTTCCTTAAGCTTGATAACATAAATTATTTTCAATTTACTCTTATTTTACAATTATGGATAGAACTTATAGGCTTACAAATCTTTGTGGAATCATTTTTAATTAGTTGACACCATTATTGGAGTTTATTGATTTAAATTCTAAAAATTTTACCATGGGAATGCTATTCACTGAAAAAATTATTTTGGTCTCAGATTTGTTAGCTGACGCTGATCTCACCATTGACCTCTAAAAGGCAACTAGCTACAGTGGGTGTACATTTTGATTGGTATTGTTACTTTAATATAAATATATAATTTGTATGTCTTTTTGATTTGAAAGAAAGAGTAGATGCTCCACATAGGTTATTGATAAACCTTATTTTTAGTCTGTATATTGGTTGTTAGCTGAAAGGAGCTACGCTCCTAATTTATACTGTTATCTGTAAAATTTTTATTGTAGAATTTTTGGGAGATCCTAGTTACAGGGGAGGTTCTACCGAAATTTCTACAAAAATATTGACACTTTCTTATGATAATGAGTTTAAATGAGTTATTTTAATTCTCATGTGATTTGATTAAATTTTGTTCTTTTCTTTTATAAAATGAAATAAATATTCATTTTGAGGCTTACAGAAATATGTGAGTAGTTCATACCCATGCTAGTCATCCTCTATTTTTTAGGTGAGATAGAAGAACAGGGAAAATATCATTGTATTAGCCTCCTCAAAGATAATGAAATTAACAGCCATAATTATCAGTCTCATAGCACATTACTACTACAAATCAATCAACAAGCATAATAGTAAATTTCACAAATTCTTTGATCCCTCTCTCACTACCTTTTTTCTGCCTTATATTCTCATTCCCATGCCCCAAGTGATTTCCATCCATTCAAGCCCATTTGGTAAAGCTTTGGTTCCATGTTATCCACTAGCCCCATTCATGACATACTTTTGAGTATATAGGTGGATTCATGCTAAGTTAAAAAATGTGAATAAAATAAAAAGGGAACAGTGAAAAATGTCAATAATTATCAATAATCCTTTGTTTTTCGTACCAAGCAAATTAAACATAATTTGTGAAGACACAACATCATGAAGAAACATGATATAGAAGTTTTATACATGTTTTTGACCATCCTCCACCTTGTTGTTGTGAGGTGGTGAATGATGAAAGGGTGAATTGATTTGTTTGGGATGTGGCTCTGTTTTCTTGTGTTTACTCTTGATCATATTGTTCCTGCAGTTTAATTATATATAGTTATATCCTTGTTTATTAAAAAAAAAAAGAAAAGTTTTGTACATGTGAAGTTGTTTGACTCCATTTCTCATAGCAAAAGAAAACAAGAACGGAGATAAATAAAAACAAATAAAAGTTACAATATTGTCATGTGAAGTAGAAACCCATAATAGTGGCTAGAGCACCATTATCATCCGTCCTTGAGCACCAAAAGATCAATTCTTGAGATTGAGATAGTGTTTCGGAGTTTTTTTGGGGAAGCTCTTGTGAAGTGATATAAAAGGAATACATGAAAAAATCCCTCCGTATCTCTCAAGCACCCATTTTTGAACAGCACAAAAAATCAAAATTCGATTAGCAATATATATATATATATATGGACATACATGAAGAAAATGAAGTTGATTAAAAAAGAAAATGACGCGTAGTTACTAAT